CCCCCCCTACTCCGTCCTCTCGACGACGCGTGGTCAGTGGTCTAACCGCGCTAAGGCCTGCCTACCTGCCTGGCTGTCTTGTCTGTTTGCAGATCGACCTCTTGGAAACGGGTTCGCACTGCAACGTCTTCACGGCCGCCCTCACGACGAACAACCAGAGGCAGGACGTGCACTCCACCATCCGCCACAAGGCCGAGGGCACCACGTGCCTCCAGGAGCAGCGCAACGTCGTCTCGGACACGGCAGACTGCGTCTTCAAGGGCCGCATCGTCATCGACGTGAGTCAGGCGGCTGTCTCGAGCGGCTAGTATATCGCCCGTCGCCTCAGGAAGTTAGCTGTCTTGACCAGCTACTGCTGCTGCTGTATCTCGTCTCTCCCCTTAGGCAGTTCGCTGGTGTACTGCCGCCACTGTATCGCTTTGCCACTGGTGCAATAAATACACACGCGTAGCTTGGTGTGGTTACAACACGTTCCTTCTCGCTCGCTGGGTGATGGTGGTCCCCACGTCGTCCTTTTTTTTTTCTCACAAAAAGGTCACCTCGTCCACATGTAAGAGTTTTACGTTTGTTTGCTGGGTTTCATGGGCTCGAAAGTGAGTTTGGTTTTTACAGCTACGCAATGTACACGGTTACTTTGTTTTGACGAGAAGGCCTTTCGACGTTTTGTTCCTGTCACTCACTGCCGTGTTGTGTTGCCCAGTGTTGGTCTGTCTCATGGGCGTGAGCGAGGCAAGCGTGCCCCCCCCCCCCCCCCCCCCCCCCCCCCCCCCCCCCNGGGGTGGAACACGCGTGCTTTGTGCTGTTTTGCCTTCCGCTCTCGCCCAGCACAACGCGATGGTCTTGGGAATACATGGCCGTGCATGATAGTCAGCGCATCATCACATCCGCCCCCGCGCGCCCCGCCCCCGCGCGTGCGAATCGCGCAAAAACTCCCAGCAACACCCGCACAAGGAAGACAAACCCCACAACCCTGCGTGTGAACGTTGTTCTGCTTGTTTCACGCCCCCCGGTTCCCAGCAAGTCGCGCAAAAGACTGACGCGAATCAGCTGTGCCGCACCCTGCTGGTGAGCGACAAGGCCCGCGTGACGGTGATGCCGTCGATGGAGATCATCGCCAACGACGTCAAGTGCACGCACGGTGCCACCATCTGCGACCTCGAGGACGAGGAGCTGTTCTACCTCATGTCCCGCGGGATCAGCAAGATCCAGGTGTGCAAGCGAGGGGACCGAGCGCCGTTTGACAAGTCGGGGAGACTAGTTGGCGACGGTTTTCGGTGCATCCCTCACTCTTATGTATATTTCCTTTCTTTTGTAGCTGGGATTCCGTATTAGAGGGAGGCTTTCCGGCCTTGGCTTTGAGCTGCCCAGGAGCGCAGCAATTCGATGCCCTTCGGCACACACGAGACGTCATTGGTGGTTTATTTTTTGTTTCTGTCTGGCGAGGTTGAGCAACATCCCAAAGCGAGCAGCGAAGCGCTCGTTGGGTGTCCTTATCTGAGGTGCCAGGAAGCGGAAACCGCGACACGAACTTGAAGGAAACCACCGTCGTATGCTTCGCTTTTTCAAGTTTATCTCTCCCTTCCAAGTACCCGGTGTTGTACAAGAAGTAGAGATGAAGATTGGGGCAGTTTGTGTCGCTGCAAAAACGTGTTTGTAGGTGCAGACGAGTTCTGCCTCTCTCGCTCCTGCGAGAAACTTGAGTCCGCGACATGCCAAAGACACGTACGGCGTGCTCTTGCCCTTGCCGTTACACAGCCGTCCAGTCGATCCCAGGGCGTTTTCTCTGGTTCCTCCCACGCACGTGGTGCCTTCACATTTTTTGTGTCACCCGGAACAGAGTACATGTAACCCGCCTGCCTGCCGTTCGTTCTTTCTATTAGATTTCCCTGCTGTTGCGGCGATCTGCTGCGTGTAGGGCCCGCCCTGTTCGACCTTCGCGAGTGGCGTCTTTACAAAGGACACCGTAGGTGGCGCGTACGGGTGATGATGCCAACCGCGTCTCGCTCACACGAACACTCCTGACCTCCGTCCTATTGACGACCCGTGGTCAATGGTCTAACGGCTAAGTGAGGTATGCAAACACACAAGAGTACGCTCCCCGTCCCCCCCCTTCCCCCCCCGTCCCCCCCCCAGGCAAAGACCCTTGTAATCAAGAGCTTCGCCGATATCGTGGTGAAGCGGTTCATCGACCCCAACCTCAGGGAGCGGTTGACCGTCAAGCTGCTGGCAGCGGCCCCGCGGGGGGATCGCGCCACTAAGGGCACGTACCAGTCGATCTAACCTTACCCAACCTAGCACCAAGAAAGGGGGGGCAATATTAGAGTAGTCGTGTGTCTCGGTTGAAAGCGTCTGGTTTCGTGTGTGTGTGTCCCAAGTCAGCTCTCATTGGCGATGGAGGAGACGCGGGGAGGGGTTCAAGGTCGAGTTCGAGTGCGACTTGGGAATGTCTTTCGTTAGCTTTCGTTGTGGCATGCCCCCCACCTTCGGAGAAGAGCAGGGAGGGGGCGGGCCTGTGCGGGCAATGTTTTTCGTGTTTGGTTGTCATTTTTTCGTTGTTTTTGCGGGTTTCTGCCGGTGTGTTGCTATATTGGTGCAATGTTCCTCACCCGACTTGCGCTGGTTTGATGGATGGTGGTGCGGTAGACATTTAGACACGGTCTCCGACAGATGAATGAACTCACCCGCGCAGGGTATCACAACTTTGGAGACAGAGGGGCGTCAATTTCGGTTCCTCTGCACGGCTACTCTCGAGGGACGAGCCTCTCGTCTGCGTGCTGTTGCTTGGGGGGAGGGGGAGGGTTCGTGGGGTCGCCGCCGCATGGTATGTGATTGCGGCGGGATGCACATAATAGCGCGAACCCCCCTCCACTTGATTATGTTTTTGTCCTCGCCCTTTACCAGCTGCCACGGCAGCAACAAACAAGCATGGCTACTACTGCTGTAGCAGGAACTGCTCAACTAACACGGACTCTGTTGTAGCCTAGACTTAACGTACTTCGAAGTATTTGACAATGACTACGCGGTACAACATGCTAATGTACCAATTCCAAAAAACCGCGTGAAGAAAAACGTGGTCGGTTGGTGTTCACCTCAACATGAACACCATCGCATGCTTCACCAAGGGCGCAACAAAGGGTAAACGTGATGCAACGCCAAGCAAAGCCGTCCATACGATACTAAATCAATGATTGTCTAAACCACATAATAACGGGTGACAATGATCGTGGCGATGAACAAAATCACACGCCCTGTATTGGTTCGTTAGCAATCAGACACTCAACGACGATGCGCCCACACGCGGAAAGGCTGGCGCTCTGAGCAACAAATCACATACAAATTGCAGAGGCGCTCTCTCTGAGATGTCAAAACAGACAAAACAAGCAAAAGGTTCGATCAACTCAACACGACATTTTTTTTCATCTACGCACACGCATTTTTTCGAAAACTCTGCTCTGTAGCGGCAGACATGAGCCCGTAGCTGTGTAACCGCTACTGGAGAGATGGCCAGGTGAATAGTGGCCATGGTCATTGACTAGGACCCCCCCCCCCCCCCCCCCCCCNCCCCCCCCCCCCCCACACCCCCTCAAGTCGCATTCCGACGACTAAAACGTCTCGCGGTACGTTCCAGCATCAGCAACAAGAAACGACAACGATGAGGCGACTAGAACATAGTTTTAGGTCACATACGTCCATCCGCTCGGACCGACAAAAACAGACAAAATTTAACCACTAGCAAGCATCAAGGAGTGTTGTTCCTGACACTTGCCCCCACAAAGTCTCACCCCATTGGGCAAAACCACAAACTTCTGTGCCGTCCAGTTGTCTGCGAAAACCAAGATGGTTTTCTTGTTGCCTGCACGGAGCAACACCTTCCAATCTCGGCTTCTCGTGACAACAAAACCTTGTGAAAAAGACAAAAAAACACAACAAGACCAGTTCGAATGCCATGCACTAGAAGCAAGCACGTAGAGAGAATCATAACACAACATACGGTCACAACAACAACACACGGCTTGTGATCAAACACACCAAGCGCGGTTGGCTCTGAATCACCGCTGCCTGTGGACGAAAAGAGCTACGTACACGAATCGATTGGTCGAGAACCCGCAATAAGCCATCGCTGCCAACGGTCAGCGGGACTAATTATTCTAGATGATGGATGATTGCAATACGAACTCCCCCCCCTGCGCGCGCTCGAACACAAAAGGTGTCTCTAGTGAAGAGTAGGAACGTGCTCCGTTTTGTGGAGGATGCGCGGTCAACGGCAAAATGGACCTCCAAGCGAGCAGCACACAAGCATACCCCCCCCCCCCCCCCCCCCCCCCCCCCCCCCCCCCCCCCCCCCCCCCNCCCCCCCGTATCCTGAGATCGTTCGATCAGACATACATATATACAGCATCCCGCCCCCTTGCAAGACCGCCTCGCTCGCCCGATTTCTTCCACAACGCTGACGAGGCACAGGTGCAAAACCAAGGGAATGACGTTAAAAAGACGCTGCACCACTTGAACAGTCGATGCGCTCCGGCCCGGTGCCCAGGTAGGCGCCTTCGCTCATGTGGCGGCAAACAACAAACCAAGGAAGAAAAACTATACTCGCCAGTCCACGCGGTTTACTACATTCGATGACGACAAAAAAATAATTGGATATTAACCAATCAAAACATACGCCGGAATGGCCGAAATCCAGCCAGAAGCCCGGGAGATGCGGTACAGTAGTAGCGCGGCGGTCCCGCGCAGCCAACGGCCGCGCCACGCAAAAAAAAAATGTCTCCACCGCAGTAACAATACTACATCACAGCAGCAGCAGAAAGCTGGGGACGGTCTCCCGATAATATCATACACCGTGTATGTAGTGCTGCCTCTCCTTTCTTGTGTACAAAAATCAACCCGCTTCCGTGGGGGGTCGTGCCTGCTCCCCCCCCCCCCCCCCCCCNGCGATACGCCCCGCGCCGCGGGCGCTTCGTTCCTTGTCATCTATTTTTTTGGCTCTTCTTCGGAATGGCCATCTATTTACTTCCCCCTCTGGTAAGCAATCGGTGTGGGAGTGTGCCCACCCCCGACATGCGTCGCCTCGCTCTTCTCACCCAACTGCCGTTGCCGTTGCCGTACGTAGGGTGTCGGCTGGTGGGCACAGAGCCGACCTGAATGGGATGGAGAGCGGCGGAGGAAAGGTACTTCAGCGAGCGCCAACATCAAACACAAAAAACTGCTGTGTGTGGGCGAATGGCTTTGGCGGCACTTTGCGGTTATTCGCTTTTTCCCTCACTTTTTTTCTTGCAGCAATATCGTAAACAACGGCGGAGGGAACTGGTTGTTGCATCCTTGCGCCGACGCAACTTCGCGAAGCCGTCGCCGCTGTTCGAAAAAACTGCGATCAAACAGCGGCGATTCGAAGAGAATCCAAAGTGTATATATAGGCTTGAACAAACTCAAAAAGAAGCCCAGTTTCCAGCCGGTTTCCCTCCACTCACTGAAAAGACTTCAGCACATCCCTTTCTACTGGGTTGTATCTCGAACGGGTGGCCTATCTGTGAGATTTACGTTCTAACAAACGAAGAACTTCAGAACTAATGTAAGAACAACCCTCGGAGACGGGGGTCGGAAAAGAGTGATATGTCGCTCGTATTCTCTTCCCGGGCATGTATCTGTGCTGCTACATAGCTGTAGCAGTAGCGTTCTTCAGGCAGCAGCGTTGCATGTTGCATGCCAGCTTCGTGAAATTCTTGGAAGTGTTCCTACTGTATTGTAGTAGCAACAACTGTTACGATTGCCAACGCGCGCGCAAAATTCGTCGTTCTAATCTACCTAGGCTCCACGGAAACTTCGATGTAGCTGTTTGAGGAGTGGAGGGGGGTATACAAGCTTATCATTCAAAGAAGATTCTGCCCGCCACACATTGCTGCCCAATGTGGGCACGTAAGAATACCACTTGGAATGCATCCAGGCATGTGCAGAAAAAACGCACTTCTTTGTAGATGCAGTAATAGCCGCATGGTCCATACAGCGAGCGGTGGGTGGCTGGAGGTGGACACATGACACATGATGTAATTAATGGTCAACGATGCCGTTCCTCGTTTGTGCAGAATGAAAACGGTTTCACCTACACTTTTACTTGCCGCCGTCAGCACGTTCTTTCATTCGCACAGATGTCATTTGTACCCACAGGTGAACGTTGGAGGCAACGGCGTACCGTTCCAGTTGCTACAAATACAACGAGGGTTGAATGGAATGTGCATATGCACACATACCACTGTGGATGGTCCTCTGCGGAATACAGACACAAACAGTACATACATGACCACATCAGCTGGGCTGGGATTTGCTCGAGGCCCTCGGGTTAAGTCAAGGGAGAGCATTGCAAGATGGCTGCGCATCATTCTCACCATAGCCTTAGCCTCACTTGCAACAGATAATTAACCTTTAGGTCTAGCTCTTTTTTTTTCAGCAAAAAATAAAATAGGGAGGAGGAGATAATGCGGGAAAGACAGAAGTACAGTAGAAAGAGACGCGTGTACTTCTGTAGACGGAACAGCTACCTCCACCCATAGGCTATGAGGGCTGCCTGCGACAGGACGGTGGGCTCATACAGGGTCATAGAAGGGTTGATGTGTGGTGGCGGTGCGGCCGCTAGGGCAGGTTAGGCTTGTAGACCTGGAAAATATCAGTCGTCAAGCAGCCTAAACTACTCTATTTTCAGTATATTCAAATGATCAGTGAAAATGATCAGTGAGAGGGCTTGTAGACCCATAGCTGGTTCTTGTACGTCTGTACTTCTCTGTCCCCTCCCCAATGTGAGCCCTGCCCGCTCACTACAGCTCCTGTGATTTTCCCACAATTCCCACAAGCACGCAGGCACACCACAGCACACACACCTACCTTTGAATCATTGGCTCTCTAGGTTCGGGCGAGGGTTTGTGTAGGGCCATGATGATAGTGTATGTGTTACTACTACTACAGTACGTTGGTAATACTAAAAACGGTCCTGGGTGCAGGTCCAATTCGCCCGAATGCGTCGAATTTTTCGAAATCTATCGGTTGGTTTCACCATTAAAAACATAACTCTGGGACCAGCTGGAATTAGTCTTTTTGCCCATTTCTCCGTTGTATCTCAGCGAATACAAAGTTGAGTTGGGTCGCCGCGTAGCCCTCGGCGTGATACGCTCAAAACCGGTCTCAAAAAAAAAAGTCGACATCACACACGCCCTAATAAAACATAACAAAATCTGGCAAAATCTCGACGGAATCGCGATTTTCTCGCCAACCAAAAAAAAAAAAAATCTGCTCCGATCAAACGATCCGCCTGAAATAGAACTTTTTTACGATGTAAGGTATGTTATTAGGGGGTACGTCAGTCGCTCGCAATATATTCCCGAGTGATTATAGGCAATCGTGGGAAAACTTAACCGGACGGACTATACGATTTTCAAATTTGGAGGATAAATTTATGCAGCATACCACGATCATATCCTGGCCTGGTTGGGCTTGAAGTGCCCCTCTTCGCTGTCATCTTTTCTTGAGTGGTTTCCTAGATTCGGGCGAGGGCATGTATGTGGAGCTATTGATGTGTGCCTCTGTGAAAGGATATGGCGAGATATTCATGGCGGCATTTGCATTTAGAGCAGTGTTGCATTTTTCGAATTTTGGCCGTTCCAGGGACCTGATGTTACCCGCTGGCACTGCTGTGACGNTTATAGGCAATCGTGGGAAAACTTAACCGGACGGACTATACGATTTTCAAATTTGGAGGATAAATTTATGCAGCATACCACGATCATATCCTGGCCTGGTTGGGCTTGAAGTGCCCCTCTTCGCTGTCATCTTTTCTTGAGTGGTTTCCTAGATTCGGGCGAGGGCATGTATGTGGAGCTATTGATGTGTGCCTCTGTGAAAGGATATGGCGAGATATTCATGGCGGCATTTGCATTTAGAGCAGTGTTGCATTTTTCGAATTTTGGCCGTTCCAGGGACCTGATGTTACCCGCTGGCACTGCTGTGACGTCTTTGTTGGTCACCGGGTAGCGCGGTCGATGCGGTCGATGCGAATAATCAAGGCACACCTACCTATTGACTTGCCAACACCTGGCGTGGACGGATACAGAGTAACAACTCCATGGCATGCCACAACATCATCATTTGCAAGTGATCAATCAATGATCAGTCATGACGCCTGTAGACCCTTTTGTATGTATAGGCCAACAGGAGCGGAGAAACTCCCGAAGTTCTTCGCGGATCTTCATATCCAAAGTTGCTGTGTGTCGGGAACTCTGTACTCCTGCTGCTATTGGAGATACTCCTGGGTTCGCCGAGAGCACCTTGGCAAGGCATCTTCCATGGGCTGCGCGCTCATTCCCGCCGGCCTATGTGCAGACCCGACCTTGACACACAAGCAAACAGGTAATCCCTGCTCTCCCTCACCTTCGGTGTGTGCACAGCTTCACGCACAGCTCTTCTTCCGCCTCTCCTGGCGGCTGCCACCGCCGCCGCCGCCACCCCCAGAGGCGTGCTCCTCCACGCGGTGCGGGTTCTTCTTCGCGAACTGCTCGAGCTTGTCGCACACGGAGGCCATCTCGTCCCGGGTCAGCCCCGTGATCTCCTCGCCTGCCTGCAGGTTGAGGACCACGGCCGCCGCCGCCGCCGCTGCCTCCGCCGCCGCCTGCTGCTCCTGCTGCTTCAACTTTTCGTCGCTCTTGTGCCTCTTCTTCTGTGCGTTGTCTATTGTGTGGGGGGGCATGACGCGGCGGTGCGTGTGCTGTTCTTCTTCTTCTGCCACAAGACTCGAGGCGGAGAGGAGAGGGACAGCAGGGAAAAGAGGGATGGTGATGATAATTACAGACAGCACAGCGAGACAGCAGAACACAGCAGGTAACGAACATCAGCTGACGAACATCCCGCAGGGACTACGCAAAATGTTTATATGAGTACCAACTACCATTAAACCCCCATTCCCGTGTGAGTGCTCCCCAACCCGGCAACTGCCTGCCACACTGCCACCACCAGACAGAAGAAAGTTAATGTACCCAGCGACGCTATCGAGACATACAGCTGCATCCCTTCTCCTTCTCCTTCCTTGCCGTGCAGTCGTAACACCCGCCTCTACAGCGGTCGCCGCTCCTCATCATCTGCATACGTTGACCTTCGCTGCAGCGAGGAGCTGGACCAGCAGCGTCCGCCGCGCCGGAAGAGGCAACAAGCCGTCGTGTTTGGCTGGCGCGGCACGGCAGCAGCTCGCCCGTCGCATGAGCGAGCAGCCGCAGCAGCAGCAAGCGAAGAGGCACAAAAGGTAGGGCACCAAGCGTCGTTCTTGACGCACTACTGGCTGGTTTTTGCCCAGAAGCTCGCTCTTTCCGCTGCAGCAGGAAAAACATCTGAAGATAGCTTGAAACATCTGAAGATAGCTTGAAATATGCGGTTGTCCTTGACCATCGCATAACAGTCGTCGCAGGACTGTAACGAAGCACTGGTTGCAGCGGTAGCTGTGCTGAGGCCCTGGCACAATGATACTGCATGCGCCTTTCGCAACTCGTACGTATTCGGCCATGCCTTGATTCTTTCACCCAACAAAGATTTAAGATTTTACCACATATCTTGCTGCCACACAGGTTGCGGGGGAACCTCGCACGATGCAGCTGTTGTAGCATACAACCACAGAGATTATGGTGTGCATGGCGCACTTGGGTAGGGCTGTTTGACACCAAAATGGCGTGAGTGCATGTGAAGCACAAATAGACAAGGAACGAGGAAAGAAAGCGCCTGTTTTTCTGGTGATGGCTGTGCCCCTGAGGTCGGATGGTTGGATGTTGCCCTGTGGTGGATGTATCTCTTGCCGATAGTCTTAAGCCCAATCGGTCGCTTGACATGTACGGCAAGTCTTCAAACCCTAAGCTCTTAGACAAGACCACCTCAATACGTAGCATCAAAGGAGAGACCGTTCGAGGAAAATGCCCCGAAAGAAGCGGTCTGTTGAAGCCTTCGCAGCAGTGATGGTTGAGAGGGAAACCTGCAGGACACTGGACTGGTCGTCTGCTAAACTCTAAACGTTTTAACTTTTGGCTGGAGACTCGAGAGGAGTTGCCCCTTGCTGCCGACTTGGAAGCACTACCATCGCCTTTACAAATACGAGCGGTAGACCTTTAGCGAACCAACCCCTTAAAACAAGCATCCCTCCATCGTGCAGTATCCGTGCGACCTGCACACGACAGAGCCTACCTAGCCCACGACGTCCTGCACTAGGAGTACTTCGTACCACACAAGAGTAATCACAGAAGCTGTTGTGCGGAGAGGGAGACGGCGTGCGACCTCGACCTTTTGTCTTTCTCGCCACTCCTCACCGACGTTCCGAAAAACTCACACGCGTGTACGCGAGCGACTCACACAAGGGGAAACCTCTGCATGCGTTTGGACGAACCCACAGGCATATCGAGCGTCGGAGAGAGGCAAATATATGACGAACCCCATGCGCTCCTAGCTAGTGAGGATGGACAGCAGCGGTAGCACCTAGACGGGGAGTGTTCCCCCGCGATCACGATATGTGCTGACGTTTTGCGTGCATGTTTTTCCTCGTGCTGCCGTTGCTGCCACTCTCTGTTCTGCCACGGGGGGGGGGGGTCCCGCTGTGGCGTCTTTTCCGACCACCTCTGGCGGCCATTTTTCTCGTGATTTTGTCCCCTCATCAACGATTGGGATGGGACGGACGGAATCGACAGCGACAGCAGCACTACCACGGACATGGCGGAGATGGGGGTCGACATCCGGGTGCCCTCCGGCTGGGTTGTGGGGTCCACCGCGGTGGAGGGCAAGAAGTGCATCGGGACGCACAGCGGCTCTTGTGAGTCTCCTGTTGAGACAAAACAGCCTTAACAATCCATGTAAAGTACTTTCGAGGCAACTAGCCAACATGGGTTGTTTGTTTTTTGTGTGTCCGCGTGTGGCGGCGCGGCGGGTGCATGCGGCAAAGATCTATACGTCTGCCGGAAGGTGTCCAAGGGGTATGCATCGATGCACGGCGGCACGAATGACTTCAGGCTCGGCAGGCGAGCTCCGTTAGGTGACGCGCGGTGCGGGTCAGTCACCTCATGCTGTCCGTCTGCGGCACGCGTGCTTAGTCACTTAAATAACGCGCGACTTGTTCGCCAAGCACACCCTATTTTCAGCACAGGTATGTACATACACGTACATATGCATGCGCGGAAGCAAGATGCAGCCACCACCGCGCATGAATGACCATGGACGCATGCCCACCGGGTTATTTCTTGATTTATTCTCTCCAGATTCCAGATGACCACATGCAGTTTGATTCATGTCTCTCGCTGTCCACCTCAGTTTTTCTTCTTTCGTATTCTCCCCCCCCCCCCCCCCCCCCCCCCCCCCCCCCCCCCCCCCCCCCCCCCCCCC